ACCTGTCAACTCGGAGTCAAATCTCACTGGCACACCGCCAAAAGCAATTCCAGGTCAAAAGCTTAGCCAAACATTGAAACAGCATCACCAGCTTGCGCTCTGGTATTTCCAAAAGAAACAAAATAAAGGGTGTCCATTCTAAAAAAAAGTAAAATCCCAATGGCACACTTGCAGGAGAGTGGAAGACTTTCACGAAGTCGTTTCAAACTTTGAATCATGTCCCTAGTTGCATTTAGCTATGCTAGGAATCAGAATATGGGAAGGTGCGACCTGCCAACTCGGAGTCAAATCCCAATGGCACACCGCCAAAAGCAATTCCAGGTCAAAAGCTTAGCCAAGCATTGAAACAGCATCACCAGCTTGCGTTCTGGTATTTCCAAAAGAAACAAAATAAAGGGTGTCCATTCTCAAAAAAAAAACCCAATGGGACACTTCCAGGAGAATGGAAGACTTTCACGAAGTCGTTGCAAACTTTGAATCATGTCCCTAGTTGCATTTAGCTATGCCCGGAATCAGAATATGGGAAGGTGCGACCTGTCAACTCGGAGTCAAATCCCAATGGCACACCGCCAAAAGCCATTCCAGGCCAAAAGCTTAGCCAAGCATTGAAACAGCATCACCAGCTTGCGTTCGGGTATCTCCAAAAAAAACAAAATAAAGGGTGTCCATAAAGGGTGTCCACTATACCAAAAAAAAATTACTCTACTTGGTGTGATCCCCACCCATGAATGTTCAGGACGTATATTCTGGCATATATTCTGGCATTCTATCTGGCATATATCCTGACATTCCACCTGGCATTCTATCTGGCAGTCTATCTGGCATTCTATCTGACATACTTTCTGACATTTCATCTGACATATATTCTGGCATTCTACCTGTCATTTATTCTGACATATATTCTGGCATTCTATCTGACATATATTCTGGCATATATTCTGGCATTCTATCCGGCATTATATCTGACATATATTTTGGCATTCTATCTGACATATATTCTGGCATATATGTTGGCATTCTATCTGGCATTATATCTGACATATATTCTGGCATTCTATCTGACAGATATTCTGGCATATATTCTGGCATTCTATCTGGCATTATATCTGACATATATTTTGGCATTCTATCTGACATATATTCTGGCATTCTAATTCATGGCATCTATCTGACATTCTATCTTGGCAATTTCATCTGGCATTATTTCTGGCATTTCTTTCTGGCATTCTCATCTGGCATTCATCTGGCACTCCTATCTGACATATCCTATTGGCATTTATTATGGCAGTCGATCTGACATTTCCTACAGGAGGTCCGGCAGGGAACACTGGGCGCGGATGGTCGCGGTTGAGGTCCGGCAGGGAACACTGGGCGCGGATGGTCGTGGTTGAGGTCCGGCAGGGAAAACTGGGCGTGGATGGTCGTGGTTGAGGTCCGGCAGGGAACACTGGGCGTGGATGGTCGTGGTTGAGGTCCGGCAGGGAACATGGGCGTGGATGGTCGTGGTTGAGGTCCGGCAGGGAACACTGGGCGTGGATGGTCGTGGTTGAGGTCCGGCAGAGAACACTGTGGATCGCGGGTCGCAGTTGAGCAAGGACGACGAGGACGACGAGGAGGACGAGGAGGAGGAGGAGAGGAGGAGGAGGAGCAGGAGGAGGAGCAGGAGGAGGAGCAGGAGGAGGAGGAGGCAACTGACATAAAATCTAACAACCCTCACCTGGCAGGTGGGGAACTAAAACCCCAATGGCACACTTGCAGGAGAGTGGAAGACTTTCACGAAGTCGTTGCAAACTTTGAATCATGTTCCTAGCTTGAATTTAGCTATGCTAGGAATCAGAATATGGGAAGGTGCGACCTGTCAACTTGGAGTCAAATCTCAAGGGCACACCGCCAAAAGCAATTCCAGGTCAAAAGCTTAGCCAAGCATTGAAACAGCATCACCAGCTTGCGTTCTGGTATTTCCAGAAGAAACAAAATAAAGGGTGTCCATTCTCAAAAAAAATAAAATCCCAATGGCACACTTCCAGAAGAGTGGAAGACTTTCACGAAGTCGTTGCAAACTTTGAATCATGTCCCTAGTTGCATTTAGCTATGCCCGGAATCAGAATATGGGAAGGTGCGACCTGTCAACTCGGAGTCAAATCCCAATGGCACACCGCCAAAAGCAATTCCAGGTCAAAAGCTTAGCCAAGCATTGAAACAGCATCGCCAGCTTGCGTTCTGGTATATTAGAATTTCCAAAAGAAACAAAATAAAGGGTGTCCACTCTCAAAAAAAACTAAAACCCCAATGGCACACTTGCAGGAGAGTGGAAGACTTTCACGAAGTCGTTGCAAACTTTGAATCATGTTCCTAGCTTGAATTTAGCTATGCTAGGAATCAGAATATGGGAAGGTGCGACCTGTCAACTTGGAGTCAAATCTCAAGGGCACATCGCCAAAAGCAATTCCAGGTCAAAAGCTTAGCCAAGCATTGAAACAGCATCACTAGCTTGCCTTCTGGTATGCACAAAAGATCCAAAAGAAACAGAATAAAGGTTTCCATTCTCATGAGAGCCAAAACCCCAATGGCACACTTGCAGGCGAGTGGATGACTTTCACAAACAAAGTTTGAAATTAATCACATTGAAATCACACCCTGCCCTGCTGTAACGGAATCCGAGACATATATGAAATATGGATGTAATATCAGAATCATGACTCTGGAAAGGTTTTTGGACGAGGTACCGGACGAGATACCGGACGAGGTACCGGAATTACATTTTGCCATCCCAGCCAGAACCCACCCCACGTATCCCCGCGTCAGATCAAAAACAGTAAACGGTGAAAACGATGTGGATAGGTCCGGAAGATGAGGTGGAGGAGGATGATGTTGCGGAAGATGAGGTGGAGGATGATGATGTGGAGGATGATGAGGTGGAGGATGACGATGTTGAGAAGGAGGAAGATAATGATGTTGAGGATGATCATGTTGAGGAGGAGGATGAAAAGGATTATAATTAATGTTGCGGAAGAGGAGGTGGAGGAGGAGGATGTTGCAGAAAATGAGGTGGAGGATGACGATGTTGAGGATGATGATGTTAAGGGGGAGGTCGAGGATGATGCTGAGAATGATGATGTGGAGGAGGAGGATGATGATACTGAGGAGGAGGAGGAGGAGGAGGAAAAGGAGGAGGAGGAGGACCGATCACAAGACCCCCGAGTGTGTACACACTGTGTGGGAAACTCACGTTGCTCCAGGGATTGTTAGGGGGCAAATGGATATAACTTGATATAACTCATGTTTGCCATGTTAAGAATCCCTGCGTGCCTATGCGTTGTGCTGTAAAGATCATACCAAATAACAAATCATGTAGTAATTCATTCCAGTGGTTGTGTCACTTCCTCCGCATGGCACACCGAGATGAGACAACAAAGTGCTATCTGAGACAAGAAAGGGCTTTCACCCAGTATATCTTCTAACATTTTATCTGGCATATCTCCTGGCACTCTATCTGGCATATCTTATGGCATTTTATCTAGCATATCTTCTCGCATTCTATCTGACATTCTATTTGGCATATCTTCTGGCATTCTATCCAGTTTTTTAGGTCCAGCGGTGCGCACTGAGCTCGGAAGGTCCCAGATTGAGGTCCAGCGGTACGCACTAAGCTAGGAAGGTGCCAAGTTGAGGTCCAGCGGTGCGCACTGAGCTGGGAAGGTCCCAGGTTGAGGTCCAGCAGTGCGCACTGAGCTCCGAAGTTGGCGAAGAGCTTGGCCCAGAGTTGGCAAGGCTACAATGGACGTAAAAGTGGAGGCGGAGGTGGTAGAAGAGGAGGAGGACGCGGAGGAGGGACGCGGCGGAGGAGGAGGATAAGGAAAACAGCTCTAATAAAATCTAACAACCCTCACCTGGCAGGTGGGGTAAAAAAACATTTATAAATATAATATACATTAAAAATATATTATTATAAAATTTATTTAAACATTTTTAAAATAATTATTTCATTAAATTATTCAAATATATTTTTTTAAATATTTTATATTAATAAAATGCTAATAATTAATTCCCCACAACTTTGTGTGGGGTTCTTGTTTTTGATTCTGTATCCCGGGTCGCCTCCTCCCCGCCTCCTCCTGCCTCCTCCTCCACACACTCACACACACACACAACTTTGTCACATACCATCTCTTACACACACAAACTTAACACACAACTTTGTCACATACCATCTTTCACATACAAACTTTCACATACATAAACTTAACATACAACTTTGTCACATACCATCTTTCCATAACTTCACATACACAAACTTAACACACAACTTTGTCACAGATCATCTTTCACATACAATAACTTCAACTTTGTCACATACCATCTGTCATATACACAATAACTTCACACATATCACATAACTTTGTCACAGACCATCTTTCACATACAATAACTTCACATACACAAACTTAACACACAACTTTGTCACATACCATCTTTCACATACACAAACTTAACACATAACTTTGTCACGTACCATCTGTCACATACATAACAATCATAACACAAACTCACATCTACCATCGTTTTGCACAAACTCACATCTACCATCGTTTTGCGGCACTTTGCGTGGCAGGCGTGGCACAATCTCACATCCACGTTCGTTTTGCGTGGCAGGCGTGGCACAAACTCACATCTACCATCGTTTTGCGCACTGCAAATCGAGCTCTCGCTGCAGTCTCGTGCTTTTTGTCGACAGCTTGCCAGGAACCGCGGCCCCAGGAGCCACCAACCATGCTCATAAAGGCGGGGGGTTTCGGGCCGGAAAGTGTTTTCACCCGTGAATTCACACACTCCCAAAGTGTTACTCTCCTCTGCAGTTCCCACCTGCGAACTGCTATTGCTGCCTCTGTGGTTGACATGGTGGCAAGACTGACCATGGACACTCGTCTCTAACTCTTAAACTTCCTTTGACTATGTGTCACAACTGTCACATATCGCATATCTCAAAACATATCAAAAAATCAAATAAGGTTGTCATTTTCAGGCATCGGCAAATGCGAGCACAAGAGAGAACCGTTCATCCTTCCGCGGCAGTATATATTTCATCGACCCCCAAAAGTCACACACCACAGGGCGATTGCCCAACTCCGGGGCTTGCAGCTGCATCCCAGCTCTAATGCCATGTCTCCACTTGTACCGTGCATCCCCGGTGAAGGCTGCAATACTTCGACGTCTAATTATTACGTCGAGGTCCTGGTCCGTCCACGACTTCTCTTCAACTTCCAAGCCTCTTCTGCCATCAACACCATCAGGAGTGAAGGTTAGAACTGCACCGCTGAGGATGCCCAGCACAAAAACATTTGGGCCATCAGTCAATGGATCCACATGAGGATGGATCATGAAAAAAGAGCCGGTGCGGTGATTGATGGTACAGTCACGTAGTGGGCCAAGTTGGTATCCTTTGTCGCGCAGTCGCTGCACGATTTTGTGCACAGCCTTTGGCAACTCACTCATGTCCAGGTCCGCACCATAGCCCCATGGTGCCACGATCCCCATTTGACCCTCACGGGATTCAGGGCGCCCTGTCACTCGTTTGGATCTATTCCTGCCGATCTCTTGGATATTCCCAGTGCTGTCCACCATGTGCACATTCACCATCTCAGCATCAAAGCAAAACCCGTACTTGCCCACAATCTCCCTGAATTCTTCAGCAAGTTCCTGTCGCAGTTCTTTTCACCAAATGATGTTGGATGTTGACTCTGCAAACACCCACTTCCTCAATTATCAGCTATGTGCCCCAAGCTGAATGAAGCAAAATGACGTAAACCATACCAATCCTGACTTGCACATCACAATATTAGCAGCCAAAGTTTACATAGAATCTTGGAGAATAGTTTGGCCAAGATGGCCAAGTAGTGTTAAGGAGTATGAATCAGAGTAGCACAAGAATGAAATCTTTCATAACAACCAGCTCCTCTTCTTCCTTCTCATCGATGAAATTTGGTTCAACCCGCAGGCCAGGATTCAAATTAGTGTCGATGCACTCCCCGCGCATATTTCCTGAATCTGGCATTCGTCGCCCCGCCCCGCATCAAAGCCTGTATGCACATGAATATGTACATCATAAAGCATTAGCATGTCATCATATATACTAGTGACTAGTGAATGGGATGCAACCAGCCAAATCAGTCACATTAGAAAAGCATAGAAAAGCATCAAGCTGTAGCAAAACTTGTCCAAACGAACGTCAATTCTACGAAAACCACGGGGCCTTAGCACTGTGCGAGCTTCTGATCCTGTGTAGATCCTCATCATTCCCTGCTCGGAATGCTGTAGGCAATGCTTCCAGCTCAAGGTCACCACCAATCTTCAATGAGGCTCGTTTCACCCCAAACTCCTCCCATAGATTGCCTTGGTCCAAGTACAACTACATACAGCAACTACCCTTGGTTTGGAGCATGCAGTTTTTGGTTGATAAATCCCGAAAACGATTTGCCTTTAAATCATACTGTAGGGATACTCAAATTGTCAAAGAACACAAATGCATCGACGATGTTTTCATGGCCTGGTTCATGGTTTCTGCGACTGTAAAGGACGGCACTTGACCAAAACCCTGATGTTGCTTGCAATGATTTGCGAAGGGTTTGGATCTATCCTAGGTCAACACGATACAGTTTTGGAACGTCTTTACCAATGACTCTCCTCCACTCCGCCCATTTCTGTTACAACGCTCTGTTGTGGGTGCAACAATCGTGCGCGACTTGAGGTTTCAGGGATAGCTCTGACATTGGACTGGTGCTGCCAGCGGGCGATGCATCTTCTCGGGCTCGTTCCTGAACCAGCACCTGACTTCATGGCCATGGTTTTTCTTTGGACGCCGCTTCTCAAAGATCAGCCCTGCAAGGCCAGCAACAGGTGCTGTCGCCAGGCGCCACGGCGCAGTCCGAGCCATCGCTCGGCAGTGTCAGACTGGTGATGCGGGTGATGTTTCTTTTTCTTATCATAGTTTTCATACATCCTGACATGGGAAGCGGTATTGAAAAAGTAAGAACAAGTCAAGATGTACAACACATGCACGCCACCCATCCATGCCATATAGACATATGCAGTCAATCAGACTATGCATAAATGGACCCAAAGCTGGCATATCTGGAATGATTATCATGATAATTTGGTGGAAGGGGGGGTGTCGCTGTTTGTAGCATTGTATTCTTCCGGATTTGCAGCAGAGCATCAGCAAAGCTTTCTTGTCTCTTCCTATCAACCAATGACTACTTTCGGTAAGCAGTCTTAAAATGGACCGAGCCCGAACA